ACTTCCTAGGGTGGGAGAAGCTAGTTCCCAATTATTTTAATACCGTCAGTACTAAATGTGTTTAATGACTCACTTACCTACAAGCTCTGGGTTGTCTGAAGACCTCTCTGTTCAGTGGGTTGCACACATTTTACTTAAGGCTATTTTATGGGGGGGGGGGGGAAAGAAAGAGTACAGAACCATAGGATTTTCAAACGAAATGAAAAGTAAAAGGTCTTACCTTGTTCGTGTCAAAGGTGTTATAAACTAGTTCAATATGTTTATTGGCCTTCTGATTCAGACCTTGCAGACCCAAAGGCATCTTAAATTCATGTAGTGTTTGCAGGCCAGATGGATATTCTGTCATAAATGTTCTGTACCACACATGGGTCTCCTGTGTAGGAACTGCTATCTGATCACCAGCTATAGATTGACCATTCCCCATCTTGACTCACAGTCTACAGCTTTTCTTCAGGTTGTTTTCATGTAAGTTTCCTCTGGATTTAGTCCCTTTTCACTAAAACTGAAGGCTTACATATGCTCTCAGAAAGCTACTCTAAACCTCTTAAAGCAGCAGGCTAAATAAGAACAGAAAGCCAGTGAGATTAACTCATCTGCACAGTTTTAAAACCAAGGTCAGTGGACACTAACTAATGGTATTGCTCTTACTAACATACAGAAACATAGTTTTTTTGTGAAGGGAAGAGGCAATATTTTAAAGAGGGTAACCCTTGTTGTATTGTTAGCCATAAATTTTGCCTACATTATTGAGGGGTACAGTGGATCTAATGGCAGGAACTTTGAGTTGCAATCAGGAAGCCTAAATTCTATGCTTTGTTGTACCGCTTATTAACTACATTGAAACATTACTTCTGTTCTCAAGTCTGTTTTCCCAACTGTAAAATAATAATAAAAGGTATTGTGAAGATAAATTTAGATAACATTTTTACATGAAAAAATTATACATTCTGAGAATTGTTAAAAATAAGTCTATGTGTAAGAGAGAAAAATAAAATAATTAGTAGTAAGAAAAGCTGTAGATGTAGTAGTCAGTAAAGTGTCATCTGAAGATAAAGGAACATATTGGGCTGTGTTTCTGGCATTGTTCTTCCTTTTTCTCCCCCACCCTCTGTTCTTACCTTTTTTTTTTTTTTGGTCTCTCAAGTGCCTACACATGCCCTGGGCCTGCCAGCTTTATCTCACTCCAGTTTTTTAATCTGGCTAATCTTGTCCTAACCAAGCTCCATTTGCCAATGAACTTAAGAAGAGGGTGAATGTACCTAAGAACTGTAGCCAAGGTCCAGTAGTGGAAATAAATGCTTTGTGCGGTCCTCAACCCATTTTGCTACCAACCATACTTAGAACCAAAAAACCTCAGGCAGAAATAATATAATTCTGTTACTCCTAAATTATAGTTCTCCTTTTCTAGCCCCACTCAGTTTTTACTCTATTTCCATTTTGGCCCAGCTCATACATCTGGTCTCTGTCTTGGTCCCTGTTCTTGAATCCTGACTGATTACCTGTTTATTAAAAAATCCTTGATTCCTAAGAAGGAGCCATTGGGGCCTAAATGAACTGACTTGACAGGAAGTGGTGGTGGTTATGCTGAATATAGTTAGTTTTGTTTCAAATATATCAATATAGACTCTCGATGGGACAATTTGATGTCATAATTAGATTTAAATAATCGGGCCAGGCACGGTGGCTCATGCTTGTAATCCCAGCACTTTGGGAGGCCGAGGTGGGTGGATCACTTGAGGTCAGGAGTTCAAGACCAGCTTGGACAACCTGGTGAAATTCCATTTCTACTAAAAATATAAAAATTAACTGGGTGTGGTGGTGCACATCTGTAATCCTAGCAACTCAGAAGACTGAGGCAGGAGAATCGTTTGAACCGTGGAGGTGGAGTTTGCAAGTGAGCTGAGATCGTGCCGCTGCATTCCAGCCTGGGTGACAGAGTGAGACTCCATCTAAAAAAAAGGTGAAAATAAGGTCATAGAAATGTGAAACTTATCCATTTGAAAGAATTACTTAAAACAATTAGACTGAAATGTATTCTCTTTTGGAGAGTAAAAAGGACAAAGGGGAGACAAGGCCAGACAGTGAGGACTCAGCCTCAGGATTATGCAGCTAGGAATATGAGAAATATCCTGCTAGAATTTTCAAAAAGCATTCTTTGGGGAAGTCTCCTTTAACTAAATGTCTGCCATAGGATGCTCAGGTGTGCTAACTTCTTATCCTCATTAACATATATTAATCACCAGTTTTTATATTAAAGAAAAAATGGATACTGATGACGGCAGAGGAAGGTAATAACCGTTTTCAAGGAGGCCAAAAAAATCCTTTGTGGAGGGAAAACTTTGGATGGATCAAGAATATAAGGACCTGAGATCCAGACACTGTTTCTTAATATAAATTAGACTTTAAAGAAAATATACATAATGATCTTTTGCTGATATAGAAAAAAACTTTAAAATTATTTATAAAATGAGAATTCTTATATTAAATACAATATTGAAGTCCCAAAAGCAAGAGTCTTGCTGTATAAAACATTAGCCAGTCATAAGATAATGGGAAAAAGCCTTCTTTTATAATAGGCTAAAGACTTAATCTAACTGCAATAAATATAACTAGCAATGTGCAAGATGAATTTGAAGAAAATTTTAAGATGGTACTATAGGGTTCCAATGAAGACTTAGGAATATACAAAGGCATATCTTGGTCTGGGGGAGAAAGACTTAGTATTTAAAAACATGTCAGTTCTCTCTATGTCAATCTGTATTATCACCATAAACCCTTACCTAAAAAAAATAAATAGAATTTGAGGGATAGTGGTGGCTATAAAATGCAATTCTGAGAATCAAGCATAAAAAAGTACAGATGAAAATTCTGAAAAATAAAAGTAGGGCTACCAAAACAACATGAATCTGGCATGAGAAAAGATGAAGCGCTCAATGAAAAACAGAGTTTCTTTTTATAACTAAGCTCAATTACAAATAGGAATTTAATATGCAGTAAAGGTGGTATGGTAAGGCAGAAGGGAAATAACTGATTATCAATTAATAATTCTGGGAAAAAGCTATGGCTATGTGGGCGTGCATACACACACATACATACATACAAAGGATTTCTAACTTACTTCCACTCCAAAATAAATTTCCCATAAATCATAGGTTTAACCATATAAATCACTATAAGAAAACAAAGCAAAATTGTTTAATAATCTTGGCATTAAGAGTCCTCTCTAAATATGACCATAGAAGCCATAAACAAAAGGAAATTAAATCAAAATCTTTTTTTAAAAATCCCAGATGATTCAAAACACCATAAAAAAATAGAAAGTTTGTTAGAAAATATCTATAATACATATCATATAAAAAAGATAATATCCCTAATATGGAGATAGTTCTTACAAATCAGTAAGAAAAACACCCACCACCAAGTAGAAAAATTGACGAAGTCCAAATTTAAAAATCGGAATGACTTTTAAACATATGAAAAGATGCTCAATCATACTCAAAATACAAGAAATGTATGTGAAAACTACAAGGATATACCACTTTTCACCTGTTTGATGAGCAAGATAAGAAAGTCTGGTAATCCATCAGGTAGGTGAAGGAACTCATACACTGCTGTAGCAGTGTAGATTAATACAATTTTTTCAAAGTGCTATTAGGCAATATCTAGTCATAATAAAATGTATATACTCTTTGATCCAGCAATTTGTTTGCTGAGACATTTGACAGACATAATTGAATATGTGTGAAATGAGCAAATTTATAAGGAAATTCACCATTGTGCACATATAAACCCAAAAGAACAACAAATATGCATAGATAAGGAAATGGTTAAACAGATTTAGTGTTTCCATAGAATGAAATAATAAGGAGCAGCTGAAGATAATGAGAGGTTATCTCATTATCTCTCAGTACATGTGTATTATTGCATGTACTGGTCTTAATATGTAATGATCTTGAAGGTATATTGAGTGGAAAAAAGCAACAGCATCTTTTGGATGCTATTACATCCATATCTATAGCTATATCATGATATATATGGTTTTACAGATATTGATTGTTTGGGGATGGATTTACAAGTAACTGGTAAAAGCATGCCTCTTGAGAAGAGTACTTAAGTAGCCAAAGACAAAAATGGGATAAAGAGTTTACCATATTCCATTTCCCATGTTCCCGGCTTTTGCTGTATGTATATATGTAAATTAAAATTATACAATTTCACCAACGAATATTAAATGTTTTATTATTTTTGTCTAAAGTTTCGGACATTTCTAAACAAAACAAAAAAAAAACACTTATCAAGAGTGTAAAAACATACTTCTTTATGTATCTGTAAATGTAAAACAATTTTTACATATGTGTAATATGTATATATATTATGCTTAGGAGATTTATTCTTTATGACTAATAAAATTATCATATAAACCATATCTCAAAGTTTTAGGAGGATTTATATTTTCTGCTTTACTGAGTGTTGGCTACAGTGGAGAAAGGGCATAGTGTCTTTCTTTTTCAACATCTTCAAGAGGAGGTGATTCTGTAGTCCTTTGCATGTTGATTTTGAAAACATCTGCTTTTAAATTTTTTAAGGAATAACAAAATTACAATAACAATCTTTTTAAGGAATAACAAAATTTAACCTTGAGTGACATTTTCATTTAGTAGCTCATATGAAAATTAGAGAACTCTAAAAATGATTAATATTTCTGAAAGAAAAGGAAAATTTAGATAACAGGATTAGGGAATATAATAAATTGTAAATTGGTCTCCATTTCTAGATTATACAATTTTCTCATTTAAAAAAGACAATTATTTATTAATTCTTATTGTTAAACAGACCAATTACAGTAACAACAACAAAAAGGAAAAATTTTTAAAGAATCTTCCAATTTTCTTACCAGCATTTTTTAAAAGGGAATATCTTCTCTGACTCTTAATTTTCAGGAGTCTTTTCATTTTTTTTTCTAACAAGAGCCTATGTCCTGTATCTATGGTCACTTTATTTTAGTTGTTCTGGAAGAGGAGATTATCTTCTTTAAGCAAAGCTTCTAAATAGGTGTCAATCTGCTCCCGGTCACTTTCTGGACCACCCTGGAAAAGAGAAGCAACAATCACACCAGGGAAAGAAGCTGCAGAGCTTCCTCCTGTAATTTGGGCAGTCTCCTAACAGTCTCCGCTATGACTCATGCTGCAACAAAAGCCACCTTATATTTGAATAATGCTTTTAACCTTTCAAAATGTTTTCTCATTTAATGCCATTTTATGCTAATGAGTGGTTAGAAACTTCGTTCATTTTTTTATTCTTTAGTGGAAGCTAGCACAACTATTTTTTCTCTCTTTTTAAAAAACTACTTGCTATATTCCTAAAGGCCCCTCAGTCTAATCTCATCCTTCTCTGTTATAGGTTGTCATCTCCTATTTTTAAAATTTATGAATCTTTAGTCTTGTATGCAAAAACAGACAAGCAGGCAAATTCTGTCTTCTGTTTCTTCTGTTTCCATTGCAGCATCTTTTCCCTCAGTTCTTGGCTTACTACCCTGGTCTGTTCCCTTCTCTTTATCCTCCCCTTCTCTCTTTTACTCAGCTCCCTACTGAGGCAATTTTATGGTCTCCTTTCCTGGGCTTCTTGATCCATGGAACAGTTAGACGTATGAGGAAGTCTCTAAAAAGTTCATGGAAAATGCATATTATAAAAAAACTATGTGGGGATGGATTTCAAAATTTTTTGAACAAAAATAATTTGTTATGACATATTTGACCAGGATCTAGTTTGATGAACTAAAAAAATAAGATAACAGTTTGAAAGGAACCCCTATCAGAGTAACATGAATTCTGCTGAAATTAAAGCAAGAACAGACATAAAATTTATGGTGAAGCTTGGGTGGAAGAATGTTAAAATCATACACACTTCATGAAAAGTTGACGGGGACAATGCCCCCAACAAAGAGCCTATAACAGAGAAGAATGAGATTAGACTGAGGGGCCTATAGGACTGTGGCAAATAATTTTTTAAGAAGAGAGAAATCAGCAGTTTACAAATCGGTAACTTGTTTCAGAACGGATGAGATGATGTTGAAGATGAAGCTGGCAGTGTCAGACTGCCCACATGACTTTGCAAGGGAAGAGTTAACCTTGTTCATGCTCTAACTGGAGAGGATGGATAGCTAATAGCAGAAACAAGTGCCAACACCACAAATATCTCAAGTGGTTCAGCTAACACAAATTTGACTGAACAATTAAATTTGAGCAAATTTTTCACTCAATGGGTGCCAAAACCATTGCAACTAGATCAGCTGCAGACAACAGCAAAGCTTTCAGTGGAAATTTTAGACAAGTGGGATCATGATCCTGAAGCATTTCTTCAAAAAACTGTAGCGGGAGATGAAACATGGCTTTGCAAGTATGACTCTGAAAACAAAGCAATGGCTACCGAGAAGTGGAAGCGGTCCAGTCAAAGCATCGGTGGATCGGTCAAGAGCAAAGGTCATGACAACAGTTTTATACTCAGGGTATTTTGCTTGTTGACTTTCTTGAGGGCCAAAGAACAATAACATCAGCTTATTATAATGGTGTTTTAAGAAAATTAGCCAAAGTTTTCATAGAAAAACACCTGGGAAAACTTCATCAGAAAGTCCTCTTCCACCAGGACATATGTTCCTGCTTATTTATCTCATCAAAGAAGGGTAATTTTGTGAGATTTTTGATGGGAAATCATTAGTCATAAACTTAATAGTCCTGATCTGACTCCTTCTGACTTCTTTTTAAAAATCTTAAAAAAAAAAACAAATCTATAAAGGGCATCCAGTTTTCCTTAATAATGTAAAAAAGACTGCATTGACATGGCTTAATTCCCAAGACAGATCTAAAAGGGTAGTGTCATTGTTTACATACGTATCTTGACTTCGATGGAGATTATGTTAAGAAATAAAGTTTAAATTTTTACTTTTAATTTTTAATCTCATTTTCTACAAACTTTTTGAGGTCCCCTTGAATGTTCCCTCTTTGCTGACTGATGTAAATCTCATTCCTTGGGCCCAACTATGTGATCAACTAACTCTCCAACTGAGCTGATAAGAGGATTTTTAGGAAGGACCTTTCAGAGACAATCCCAGCACTAAGTATCTAGCACCATTATCCTCGCCTCTGCATCTCTTCTCTGGTTTCATAAAATGTGCTTCAGCTTTACTCCCTCTACCCGAGATTTGCTCTCACAAGGCGGAATTGTAGTGAGTTCCAGCTTTGTGACTGGGACGCTGTTCCTGCAGATGGATTACAACGATGATACTTACCTTGACTTCCAAATATTCGATGACCCTGAAGAATGCCCTGTGACACTGACATAAGCACTTCTCATCCTGTTAGACATAATCTGATCTTTTGGTGATTATCCTCTGCCTGGTGGTCTAAATTTCTTCTAGGATGCTATATTATTTCCATGCTTCTTCCAGGATACTACATTATTTTCATGCTATGTTATTTCCATGCTCCATAGAAATTTCATGTGGGGGGATAAGACTAATACATTTGGGTAGGAGCCTTTTGAGTACCTCTTCACTGAGACTAGGCAAAAGAGTTTCATACTCTGCTGACTGAAGCCCTTCACCTGTCTACCAAACTTTGTGAATACAGCAAATTAAATTAGTACAGTCACTCTGGCTACTCTCTAAGAACCTAGAGGTTTGAAGAGAAGGAGTAGTAAATGATTATTCTTCCAGTTTTTCTTAGCCAAAATGGATTTGCTATTATGAAAGCCAATTATTTCATAAACTTGTTTAATAGTCAGGAAGTAATATTCAATTTCTATTGATACAGATTTTCTTTGGTCTTTATCTAGTTTTCTTGTTAGTGAAACAATAGTTGTCAGTGAAACACTACCATGTGCCAGGCTCCATACCAGACCTTTAACACATGAAAACATTTGGCATTCTTCTCGGCCACGAGAACCAAAAGAAGCTCCACAGAGATTCCACTCTCATAGCAACAAATAAACTAGACAAATTGGCTGAAGTAGAACAGTTGATAGAAGCACAATACCTTTATATAAAAATTTTAAATTTTAATAACATTTTAACTGTTGCCTAGACCATCAAAGGGGAGAGGGACTTCTCTTTTTGCAATATATTTAAATTAAGCAAAAAAAATGCTTTTATGCATTTTGTTTTGTACTTAATATAAGATAAATTTCAGATAAATTGAAAGATTTATTTTTTTGAAGTGGGAATGGACTCCCACATTTAAATGTTCACAACCAGGACTGAAACCCAGGCAGTCTGGCTTCAAGGTCCATGTTCTTCACATATCATACAGATATAAGTCTGGCAAGTTTCCTTATCTCTCCCCAAGGGCAGGGCAGTCCTCTAGCCAATCCTCCATCAGGGTCTCAGTTCCTGTCCCCTCATGTTGCATGGCCCAGGAAGGCTCTGTCTCCTGTTCCAGCACTCAGGGCCTATATTTGAGGACAAAATGCCATGTGCTCCCTAGGCTCACTGTTCTGGCTTGGATTTCTCAATTTATTTCTAGACACCACAGGAAGACTTTCATCCTTGACTACATATATTTTCACTTTCGCTGTACTTTGTGCAGCATTTCCATGTGCTATGGAAGATGGGCTCTTCCTCATTAGTTCAATCTATTACAGAGCTCAATTCTTTATACATTAAAATACACAAACAAAATTGAAAGTAATCCATACTTACATGATGTTTCCTGACTTCTCCCAACCTGTCCTCTAAGAGGATTTATTTTTAATTATACATTAAAATAAAAGTAAAGTAAAATATTTCACTGTCTGAAAAAACTGAAAAAAAATACCTGCTTAGTATCCCTATTAAAGGGACACGAAGGGTGATCATGCTATACCAACACCACCAAAGATTCTGAAGTGTTTAAAATACGAGAGAACAGAGTTTCTAAATGTTCTAATATATGCCTTCACAGTTATTTATGATTTCAAAATTTTTATAGGGAGAGTAAGGGCTGGCTTAAGTGACTTGTCCAGGTCAGTAAGTGAATGACAATGTTAGGAGAAGAAGTTAGCTGAGTTCTCGTTCCACAGAGTCTATTCCTGCTGCTCACATACACTTTTATCACTCACCAGTTGAAGTTTCTGCAGAAATAATGCCAGTCTTATATGAAGATTCTTCAGCTCATCCTCAGAGATTTTTCTTTTTCCTTCACATTGCCCCAGAGAGATTGTGTATTCCTCTCGTATTTGAATCATAGATAACGGATTGTATTTTCCTCTTTAGCTTTTTTTCATATTGGGCCATGCAAGTATTCTGTATCTGGGAATGTTTTAAAAACAGTTTTAGCATGTTTTTAAAATATTATTTTCTCCCTAATATCACAAGGAAATTTCATATTCCAACTCTGCCTAGATGTACCAAGTGTCAACTTTGTAAGTACTACAGGTGGTCTAAATTTAGGAAGTGTTGATACCCTTAAGGAACATACATACACTCTGATGGAAGATGAAGAGAGAAGAGAAAAATATATAATATTCCAGTAATTGTAATTCTAAGGAGGAAAGAGACACATCATAGTGGGCTTGGAGACCTTTACTCTGGAATGAAGAAGAACCTCATAAAAGTTGAATCTGTTTTTCCAATAGTGACCACCAGATTATTTAGGGCACAAATTAAGCATGTGCCTGTGACTCTCTCTCCACAGCACCAGTAATTCACAGGCAATGACACAATGACCCACCACTTGGGGCTGTTTTGGCAGATGATGTAGTGTTACTTGTAATGCAAGGCTGTAACATCTAGAAAGCACACAAACTACAGAAAGAGAAATTCCTGTTCTCATTCTCTTCAGGTTCCTTATCGTGATACAAAAAGCACAGACAGTTATGCATATGACCCTCACTAACTGAAGAATCTTGGTTGTTTTCCAATATTTCTTGCTGTGTCTGAGGCACTCATGAAGTAGAAAGAGGTAATGGAGAGGCCAAATGCTTCAGTTTCAGAATGACATTAATTGCTTGTATAAACATTTCAAGACCAAGTGATATTCTGAGAAAAGAGATACAGGGCAAATACCACTTTGATAAACATTTGACTGTTTACATAATAAGGAGATTTCTGTGTTCTAATATGACTGGTTGCCAAGAAAGTTGTAAGGTAGCCTCATTTGTCTCTGGGCCTACCCTTCCCTCTTCAGACCCCCCCACTACATTGACTATGTGCAGACCCTTCTCTGACGTCCACATCATCTCCGTTAGCATTCACTGACCTCACGAGTTTCCCTTTTTTCTACAAAATCCTTTAAACAAGCATACAAAAATCCCTACATATAGGAAATTCTGTTTAATAAATATTCACTAACTAGTTCTTAATTTGAAAGCACTGCATTTAATTATAGGTGATACGGAAATATACAAGGTACAGTCTTTGCCCTCAAGAACTCCCTAGTCTATAGCATGAGATAATACAAGTGTGCAAATATGATGTCTTATGGTACATAAGGACCCTATGTCCCCAAGTAAGGCACAAAATAGCAGGGATTCAGAAGAGCAGATATGCTGCGCTCACAGCAAGGGAATTTCAAACACATGGTTAAATCCTGCCTTGAAATCCAAGCTACATTTAAAGATCCTGGAAGGGAATCCACTTTTGAACATTCTTAATTCGACCTACAAGTTGATGACTTACAACTAAGGCAACTACCACCTCTACCAGGAAGCTTCGTAGATGCTTCCAGTAGAGGCTGCATGGCAAATCAAGGGAGAGACATCTCCTATGGCCTGAAGATGGAGTAGGGGAAACAATTCAACTCAGCTGGAATAAGGAGGACAACACAGTTCACATGTCACTAGCCACTTACTTACAGTTTTCAGAACTCTAGAATTTTATAGCTTTTGCTATTCTGAATAATAGTCAGAAAACACTTTTTCATAAAAATAAAAGCAACAATAAAATAAACCAAAACAAATCAAAGATAAATATCAAAAATGGCAAACATTATTGAAACATCATTTGAAAAAACAATAGTAGTGCTCATCAGCCATAAAAAGGAACCTCCTATTGACACACTTAAATAGACCTGAAGTGAGGCTGAATTAATAAAGCAATTGTCAAATGATACACTCATATGATTCCATTTCTACAGCATTCCTGAAAAGACAAAGATAGAGATGGAGAACAGATTAGTGGATGCCAAGAGTGAGAGGTGATTGTGGAAGGGCTGAGGGGATGGGACTATAAAAAGGTAGCATAGGGAGATGCTTGCAGTAATGAGAATTCTGCATCCTGATTTCAGTAGTGGTTATACAAACCTCCATGTATGATAAAATGACATAGGACTATATACACACATTTTACCAAATTCAATTTCCTGGTTTTGATACTGTACCATAATTATGCATAATTCTGCACTGGAGGAAACCAGGTGATGAGTACACAGGACCTCTCTGCACTGTTTTTGAAACTTCCTATGAATCTATAATTATTTTGAAATTAAAAGTAAAAGAAAAAAGCAAAAACAAAAAGCCTCAACACTATTAATATGAGATGAGACCAAGAATGTTTATATAGTACATTACATTCAAAGTCATATTCAGTTTCCAAAAGTTTCCCCTTTAGTAACCTGTAAACGATGTTTTTGTCAAATACTACAGGCCAGCTTTTTGGTTTATTCTCCTGCCTTTCTCTCCAGGAGGTTCTGCTAACCTCCAGGAAGTTTCAATGTAAGTTAACCGTTCGGACAACTTTTCAAGCTTAGTATAAAAGGACAACTAGTGGTATTAACTTTTTCGTGTGTCTTAACATTTTAATCAAGGTGACAAAAGAATTGTAACAAGATGAGAGGCTTAGTTCTGCTGGTTAAACTCACCCTTGTAGAGGTATTTGCAGATCAAAAACCAAATTCTTTCCAAACCACATTAACTCAGAATGGAATTAGGATTTGAAAGAAAGGATATTTAACTGAGATTTTAATTTTCTGCCTTGAATTCAAAAAGTAGGAGCTCTAGCAGTTTTGCAGCTCCAAAATCCTAATGAGTTTGTGCAAAGTAAGGAAGACCTACAAGATCTACAGATTTTGTACCATACAAACAGGAATATTCATTTAACTGTATATGTTGGCAGGCACTAAAGCAGAAACAATCAGCTTTGATTCAACACGTAACTATTAAGATCCAGATGCATGAAAAGGCACTGGTTGAATGCTGCTAGAATACAGAGCTTGATGACAGGATTATTAACTTCAAGGATTCTATAATCTACCTGAGGAGAACATGAAATATAATCAACTATTATAAGGCAGAAATGTTAATGCTAAAACAGGGTTTTAAGGCTCTCCCAGAACACAGGGAGTTCAAGATTAATTTCACATGGAGAAACTAAGAAAGTCGTCACACAGAATATTGACCAAGCTCAATGAGGAAGGGGAAGAGGCCCACTGTGGATTGGGAGAGTGGATAGGAGTATTTTGGGGAGTATCAGGAGAGGAAAGGCTCAGAGGTAGCCTAGTGTAAGTAAGTTCAAACAACTCTGGGGCACTCATTTTAGATGAAACAGATGGCCTTCGAGGAAAGAATAAAAGATGATGATTTGAGTCAGGTGGTACAGGACCACCAATGCCATCATGTATCATCTACTTCTACAATAGTATTTGTGAAAACCACTGTTGTGACCAAAGAAGCCTGTGGCTTATATAAGGTTCTCCTTTACTTTGATGTGGCTCTCTTTATTAAAGGTACACACCTTAAAGCAAGTTGTTCTGTGTTTTGCTTATAAGGTCTCATTTCAACAGGAACCGCTGGTCTCCTGACTGTTTATTTTGCCTTGATTTTTTGAATTGGACATGTCCAGCATATTAAGGGGATACTGTTCATCATCTATGCTAACACTGTTCACTCTGAATAAACACTTATCTTATTCACTCTGGCTCCATTACTGATGGTATCGACATTGGAAAAAAAAATTAGAAACAGATAGCAAAGGGCATATAGAAGCTTGGATAAACAGCTGTATAACAGTATAATTCTTAGCAAATTTCTAAGTTTTACAGGGTATTCAAATCAGACTCCCCTAACCAGTAAGTAAAGGGCTACAGGAAGATCCAAGAGCCTTACTAATAAGCTCCTCAAGCTGACTGACACAGACTTTCAGTCGGGAAAATCAATTCCTGGTAGGCCAATAAGCCAACCCATCTACCACACACACCCCACATAAATATGTCACTGTCAGCATCTCCACCATATATGTCTCATGATGCAATGTCAGGGCTCTAGTAAGTTAAAAATAATTCTTCTATACCAACAGGCTGAGAAGTTGTAATATACTTATAGCAGGTAATACACACGAACTCTATCACAAAGATGAAGTATTAAAGTCTGGATATGAGAATAAGATGAAATAGCCAGGTGTGGTAGTACCAACCTGTAATCCTAGCCACTTGGAGGCTACACAGGAGGATTGCTTGAACTCATGAGTTCAAGACCAGCTTGGGAAATGTAGCAAGATCCTAACTCAAGACAAAAACAAGCAACACAAAAATAGAGGGCATGGGCAAAAAAAAAGGTGGGAAAATGTATAATGAAATGAGCTTTGGAGTGGGAAAAATTAGGGTTCCAATTCTGAATCTGATCATGACACTGGGATATTATCTTTCTGAATCTCTATTTCCTCATTATTAAAAGAGTAGTGGCACTTACCTACCAAAGTTGTGAGAATAAATGAGTTAATGTTTAGCAAAGACCTAGTTCAGTGCCTAGCTCTAGTGGCTCTTGATCAATCAATCACAGTTTTACATTATTGATGAAAATAATATTAGTGGTAGAAAAATATCAAAGCATACTGAAAGTAAACTTTGTCTTTTATTCTTGCTATGAAATGTTGACAAGCAACTCTTCAAACTGAAAATGTTCAGTTACTGCTTTTTCAGCAAAATGTTGTTCAAAAAATAAATTCACTTTTCAGTTGAACAGTAATAGGAGACCAATAACTACACCCCCTGCCTTTTCACTTCCAGTTGTTTATCATCATCCAGTAGATAGAAATATCAAAGTCAAATCTATCAAGAAGGGTTGTTAAATTTAGGCATAGTCTGAACTTTAAATACTGTATGATAAAGTCTTGGTAAGAAGGAATATGGTTTACATTCTACTTTTCAAGTTTGCCTAGTCATATGTCTTTCGGGAATTTACTTCACCATTCTTTTTCATTTTTCAAATGACTTCCATTACAATTGCTTCCTCAGTTTCAGTTAAAATCAAGTGCAAACGTACCTCATTACCCATAAACCCTATGAAGCAGTGTCTCTACTTGGAGTCATTCTTTGCACAACTCCAGGAAGTGCCAGTCACCTCTTAGTCTTTATAGATTTTCATGTTATGAGAGCTTTCCAGAGATGGCTGTAAGTAGAAGCACAGGGAAGAAGATGCTAATGTACGCACTAATGATGGAGCTGGTGGCTAGGTGACAAGGCACAGGTAAAGTGTCAACAAAGACTCAACATTTCAGTGTTGATCCTGGTTCTAGGCGACACTGGGCTGTGCAATTAGTCTGGGAACCTTCATGGCCATCCTGGCTCCAACATTCATCCTCTACATCAGCTTGGCCAAGTTCACATGCTGGAGTCCAAGGGGATTTTTTTTAGTGTAAAATAAGGGATTTTAGGGCATTTGATTATTTGAGATATTTCTGTAGTAGAACTGAAGAGCAATCTGGACTCTTTCTCCTACAGGAAATCCTTAAGGACTAGATACACAACACTATTTGATAACTGTTAAAAAAAAATCTACCCAGAGAAAGAGAAAGGTTGTAAACAAATAAACAAAAATATTAATATTAGTAATCTTGGAATGGCTTGAGACTATGGATGAATTTCTAAGAGAGATATGAAATTGAAATAGTTTAAAACTTCAACCTAAAATTTCTGCTTCAGTCTAGTATTTTGAGGATTCGGTGAATATATTTCTTAAAAGCTCAGAATGTCCTGTTTCCTATTCAAGTTACAGTCCTACTCCAAGTGTTTCATAACTTTATGTTATAGAAATACTTGTATTAAAATTCAAAAAGATGTTGCTTTATGACATCTGATATGCTATACATTAAGTCTCAATGAGTGAATGCAAATTTGATTTGCTTTCAAACCTAACATTTGGAAATGCACATTATTTACCCTTTGGAACACAGGATCATTTAGAGTATAAATGGCTATATTGAAAGAAAGCTTACCTGGTTGAAACACATTTTCAGCTTTTTGTTGATCTGCTCTGGGCACTGCTCCAGCTGTTTTCATAAATGATAATAAAACAGGATATTAGCTTTTAGAGATTGTGCTGTCTACAGCAGAGTTACATCATGCAAGCATTGAGTATAAAAAGCGTCAAAGCCTAGAACTGGCCAACATTGGTACTATGGGCCTTTTAAGTCTGGGTCTAATTAAATTAATTAACTAAATTATACTTCACTTCCTTCCAAAAAAGTATTAAGTCAGCTTACATAAATAAATGCAGCTTGGTTAGAAAATCGTGCAGATACAAAAATCAAGGTGAAGGAAAATTAAGTGATAAAATAATAAATATTCAAAGGGAGATGTCAAGAGGGCAGCCGGAGTCTGAATTTCTTGGAAGGGAGTGCTGGAGAAGCAGACAGAAAAGCCACTGGTGTGGGGTTAGCAACACTATTTAAAGTCAGAGATTAGATGAGGTTACCTAGAAACAGCATTTAACAGAGAAAAGAAAGTGACCCAGGAAGGAGCCTTCAGACATGTCAACATTGAGAAACCACATACAATAGGAGCCATCACAAAGATGGAAGGGAGGAAAGCAAGACAATGGGCAGTGAGCAGTCACGGGAGCTACACAAAGAAGGTGCTTCGAGAAGGTGAAAGTGGTCACCTGGGTTGAAGGCCTCTGACAGGTCAGGTAACAGTGACATTGCACTTAGCAGTGGTCACTGGTGGCCCTGACAAGAACAGTCATAGTTCAGCAGTGGAATCAGAAGCCCCATGGGAGAGGATGAGGTGAGAGTAGAAGGTAAAGAGGCAGAAACAATGATTACAGTGTAGAAAATTAGGGACGGTGCCCCGGATCAGACTCATATAATCCCTCTGTTGCATGAATAATTTGTGCTGTATACCAAGTGTATCCAGCATCTCCACAGGCAAAACTGAGCATGGAGGTAGAGAAGAGGCCTCCCACCCTCCTGCACTAGGCAGCTCTTCCCCTCCACTTCTTCTGAGCAGCTTACTTGTCAGGCATACGCATCTCACTCAACTTCACAGCCCTGCCGGGGCCCTTTGTAAACTACTGGTTATTACTTAAGCATAGCCAATGGATGTGAGGCTTACTCTTTGCACTCCAAGTAGCTGATCAAAGTTTTCTTTCCAATCACTTCTCCACTGTTCCTGAGAGGTGATTTTCTTCATCTAGCTCAGTGATGTCTTGGTGATTTCAGTAAGATTAGTGCTTTGGATACCTAACGTGCCTGACCTACCCAATCCTCAGCTCAGCTCCCCATAATAAGCAGCTGAGGGGGTGTATCTAAGGAACAGAAACTCTGTTTTTGATGGGGGGGAGGGAAGTCAGGGACTATGTCCTATTTCTTTCCATCTCTGCATCTATCTGTCTGTAAGATCTTTTCCACCTTATTTAACTCACAGCCACAAAGATTTCAAATACAGCTTTAATTACAAATCACGATTTATAATTAAAGATGAGAAAGATTCACATCTTCATTCACTTAAGCCATTCTAGGTCCTGTTATTGGAAACAATTTATATTTTTCTTCACTGAGGATTAAATTCAGGCTATTCTATCATTCCCTCACAGTTTCAAAAAAACCAGCTCACCCCACAACTTAATGCAGGTTCTTCCAATTCTGATGGTAGCTGATACTCAGGAAAAAAATACAGAAGAGTCTCCCTAGGAATACAAGCACAGCAGATATGGGAATATACTAGGATAACAGAGGTGGCACTCACTTGTCAGAACTGGATTTGTCTTCTGGGTATTAAACATTCTGGCAAAGATAAACATTCTTTCTCTCCAAACATTTTGTTTTTATCGTTGACATCAAAGTGTTCTTCAGAAAGCACGGACTAGGGAGAGGAAGGTGGGTGTGGCTATAAAAAAGCCATAGGAGGGACCCTTCTGGTGAAGGAACTGGTCTTTATCTTGACTGCATCAATGTCAATATCCTGATTGTGATACTCTTCTACAGTTTTTCAAGAAGCTATGTGAAGCGTACATGGGATCCCTCAGCATTATTTCTTACAACTTAACATGAACATACATTTATCTCAAAATAAAAAGGTTACAAAAAGGAAGGAAAGGAGGAAGGAAGGAAGGAAGGAAGGAAGGAAGGGAGGGAGGGAGGGAGGGAGGGAGGGAGGGAGGCAGGGAAGCAGGGAGGGAGGGCGGGCAGGTGGGTGAGAAGAAAAGAAACCAACCAACTTCACAATGCCTCGCAATCCATAAACAACCAGTCTAGGAAAGCCCTGTACCTACTTGAGTGTTCTCTTCTGCAGAGAACTCAGCATAACAAATTTCCTGTAAAAAACTATGCTGACTACAGACTTACTAACTTTTTTCCTGAGAAAACCAAAGAGTTTAAGTCTCCAGAGTAATGTTTTCATCAGAGACTCCAGGACTGCTCTTAGAAATCATACATGGACCCTGCTCTTTCTTAAATAGTGATGGCCATTGTTCTGACAGGTGCTTCATTTTGTCAAAAGGCAGTAGCGCCCATCCTTCTATGGTGACAGCTTTTCTAGGATTAATCACCTAAATGACACATATTTCATTCCCGGGGGAATATGAGATCTAGAAATTTATAGCCACCACATCTTAAAAGTGTATTCTAATGCTGATATGTTCCAAGAGTCCCATGTATATTATCTAAGGGATTTACAAAAATTTTTCCAGTTGTAAAATAATATGGTACACCAAAGACAAAACAGCTCTTTCTTATACAATTTACATTCTTCATACTTTAAGCATATTATTTGCATTAATACTCATTTATAGTTTCAAGGAGATTCAAACCAGAAAGCTGGAACTTCTTGGCATTGCCATTGCCCAAACATTAAATATGACATACAACACTCCTCAGAGTTATCTGCCTGGCTAGCAAGAAGATGAACGGGGTAGAAACGGGATTAAAAAGGGGCTTCCAGGTATATGAGATGAGAAGAAATCATATGGCATAGAAAGAAAAGCTGCAACAGGAGTTCCTGGGAAAGGCGACATGGGTCAACATTATGGCCATTTTGTTGGAGCAGGAGGGGTGAGAGACCTTTTACACAAACTAACCTTGCTTCTCTCCAAATCCAGGCTCCCTTTCCCCACCACAGGCTTGAAACCTTTTCAGAGCATTGGTTCTTTTCATTGTGAGTATAAATTCTTTTTCTTTAAATTTAGAGCAAATCAGAAATCTCCTAGGAATATGCTCTTAGACAAATAAATATTAGATGGTAGCATTTACTAGGGAAAGGGAGAAACCAAAGAGGAAGTTTGAAGAGAGAAAAAGTTCTGGATTAGTTTTACTTTCAATCTGTGGCATCTCTATTTCAAAATCCATACCAAATATCTATAGTCTGAATATTATCTTACACATGTACTATTATTTCTAAAAATAGACACATGATAGCTTTAAACACAACTTCATGTTTACTGAAATCACACTACCTTTTGCCATTTTGCATTTCCTCAACTCATTAATTCCGCAGACATTCTTTAATTCCTACTAAAATATCGCCTTTGCTCTTCAGTGCCCCACAGAGCCTGGCATCATGCCCCCATGCTAGGAACCCAATACAATCTTATTGAACTTATTTGGCCTAGTGGGAAATATAGACAAGAAAGCAAACTATTCTAATGCCATGAGATAAATGCTTGGAGGACAACAACAAAGTTACACGATGGAGTCTAGAAGAAGGGACTCTAAGTCATATTTCGGTAGCCGTAAAGAACAGGGGGAGTTAGCCAAGTGTAGGGGATATGGGCAGGTGAAGGAAGTATTTTGGGCCACCTGCACCATACACTAGAGTATTTTCTATTTTTCTTTTGTAAAATATCTGACCAAATAGTTGGTCAGATTCAAGTATTTTTCTTGGTGTTTTTGTTATTGTTATTTTTGAGATAGAGTCTCACGCTGTTGCTGAGGCTGGAGTGCAGTGGTGCACAATCTCAGCTCACCACATCCTCTGTGCTCCCAGGCTCAAGCAATTCTCCCAACTCAGCCACCTGAGTAGCTGGGATTACATGCACCCACTGCCACGCCCAGCTAATTTTTGTATTTTTTTCGAGACGAGATTTCACCATGCTTCCCAGGCTGGTTTCAAACTGCTGAGCTTAAGTGATCCACTCACCTTGGCCTCCCAAAGTGCTGGGCTTACAGGCATGAGCCACCACACCCAGCCAATTCAACTATTCTTTATAAAGTACTAGAAATGTGCCAAACACTGCTATATAGTTTCTATGCATAATTTCATGTAATCTTTACGGATACTCTTTGATTGAGGAATTATTCCTATTTTCTCCGGTCATCCAGCTGATCTTTTTAAACAATAACCTAGTTAATTAGCTTAGTCCTGGCTAAGGAGAAGAGCAAGCCTCCTACTGGAGGTTGACCAAAACTATCTTCTCCAACTCAGTAAAAGACTAGTATGAAATGGAAATGACACAGCTCTAATAACGCTTTTTGGCAGACCTCAATTGCTAGTATATGTATTTTCATGGCCTTTTCCTTTAACAACTGGCAGACATGTTGAAAAGTGACATTCTTTTTAAGACTTATTTTTGGTATTTAAAAAAATCTAAGATAACAAAAAGCATGTTTATATTTTTATAGAGATGACGTAAATGGAGTGCCTTATCAAGTTTACGCATACAACAATAAACCAAAACAAGGCATTACAGTTCAACACTTAAGAGCAAGGAGTGTGGGATCAGATTGCCAGGATTCAAATCTAAGTTCTATCACTTAAGTGTTATATAATGCTAGGCAACTTACTTAACCTCTACATGTCTCAGTTTTCTCATCTACAAAATGAAGATAATAAAAGCATCTATACAGGATTGTTGTAAGATAAGTGAGTTATCATGTGCAAAGCCCTTAGGACTGTGCCTAGCATATAGTAAGTACATAATATGTATTATTACTAATATTATTGCTATTATTATTGTAAGTGATTTGAAATGTAATACTACTCCAAACTTTAGGATCACCTGATAAATAGTCTGGAACCCAGTTCAGCTTATTTACCACTAACTTAACTCAGGTGCACTCCAATATCTAAAAGTATTTTAACATCCAGTAATACTGTTCACTGCTTTTTACATTAATCCCTTTTAATTGAATTTCAAGTATTATTTAAATATATGCTGATATATGTTAGACATACTGTGGACAAATCAATCTGTTTTCAAAGATATTACTTTATTTGAGAAGTCAGCAAACTAATACACAGAAAGTAAGAGGTAATATAAGACAGGAAAATGCCTAACTGAGAATAATTAGGTAATGAGTGTGTACACTAAAAACTATATTTTTAATTAATTGTTAGCATTAATTACAGAGAGATGGCCAGACACTACTTTGGCATTGTGGAAACAGTTAAGGACGATGTCATGTCCAAAGTGACCCAAATGGAAGGAATACCCTTCACACTTAAAAGGTCTCGAAATACTATTCTTTTTATCATGTGACAAGAAAGGTAAATACAGTAAACTATCCTGAGTATTTCTATATAAATTTACATTGTACATAGCTAGCCACAATCTTCATGCCTTGAAAAATTTAAAGTCTAGTAAATTCAAGAAATTACATGTGGACCAGATATAAAATAGCAAATAATATTACAAAAACAACAACAAAAAACAACAAAATATCTAACAAAGAAAACAAGAAATCTGTTTTCACTGGTGAAATGTGAGAAAACATACTACATGTTGCTGAAGGCAAAAGACTAAACTGGTATGACAAGGAGCTCATTTTGTTTTAAAGTCTTGTGTTCTGTCCAACTTTTTTCCATAGAATATTTTTAATAATCACCACACAAAATTTAAGATGGTACAGAATAGAACTGACACATTAACACATTCAGCTTTCAGAGTGCTCACTTGATAACAGTATGATGATTCTAAGCAATAGAGTCTGCCTGTTCATTAGGGAGATAGTTTCCGGGAAATTTTAATTTTCTAGTGATGCCTAATGATAGAAGTGAATGCATTTTAAAGTCTTAGTACACTCAATCTGATTATCCCCTTTTTGATCACATGTAACCCACTAAAATTAATAGAAATGCTACACTTAGACAAAGAACAAAAATAGCCAATAAAAAAATCAGGAAAATAATGAATTTGAAAAAGAAAATTGATCTAACTTAAAAAGAAATTTAAGTAGCTATGCATTCAAACTCTGCTGTAACACACTCAGACAGATCTCTCTAGGTCTCCTAGTGTGGAGAGAGGGTATATGCTATATACGGTTAAGAGCATGGGATTCCAAGTCAGAAAGCCTTGCCTTAAACCTCAGCACCATCCTTAGTATTTGTGTAATTCTCCATGAGACTTGTAATGTGTTAGTTCTTCCAAGCTTCAGTCTCCTCATTCATACAAGAGATTTAAAAATAACACCAATCTCATGAATTTGTGGGAATATAAATTAAATCATAAAAAGTAAGTGGGTATCCACCCTAAAATACAATAAAGGCTCAAACCTGATAGCTATTATTGTTATTATTTTTTATGGAAAGAGGGTATTGCTATGTTGCCTAGGCTGGTCTCGAACTCCTTCTTTCAAGCAATGCTCCCACCTTGGCATCCCAAAGTGCTAGGATTATAGGCATGAGCCATGGTGCCTGATGTGATAGCTATTATTATTAAGAAGGCCTGGTTCACTGCTAGCATGTCCAAATAATTAGATATGTGGTCACAGCCATACATTTTTAATGATATTCATACATTTATTCAAATACATATAGACACATGCATATATAACTTACCATATACTACTATGCTTTAGTGACCAACAAATAGGATTGAATCTTAGGACCAGTAACATATCAGCATTCAAATTTATAGCAACCAACTTCAAAGCTGAGGACTTTAAATACTACTTCTAGAAAAATACAGGCAGAGGGAAGGAAATCAGTCAGAGAATCCCAGTCATTAGGGATTATACTGTAAGCTACAGCAGTGTAATACTAACAACTATCTAGATCATTGGACAGGCAGCCTTTTTCAGCCTTATAATGCCTGTATCACGCTGAGGTCTGGCCTGCTTTTGTCCTATTTCCAGGCTAGTGCATGATCGCCAACCAGACATAATGGAGATTTGGTGGTCAGAACTTAGTGTTCTGGAATGTAGCTGTCTGTCTTCATTGCTCCATCAACCACTTGTCTCTGGATCCCTAGTGTCAGTAGTGAAAATAGGCCCCTCTACAAAGTCCAAGGTGGGTCCATCCACACTGGAAGAAGAAGAGTGCTTCCTCTCTCCTGGGGCAGGACTGGTGTTGGACATTAAACAGCAGGTGGGGCCTTCATGCCCATGTAATAATCATAGCCCTGCAGCCCTGGATGCTGCTATAGAGACTTTCACCAACCCCATGGCGTCAAGTTGCTATCCTAAGAAAAAATACTATTCCAGGTAGGGCGTGTTGTATGTTTTTCCTGGCCCCTAGCCTCTCACCCCACACAAGACCCTTAAAACCCAACAAAAGTCTGTGGAACCCAACAAAACCAGTGAGGTACACTAATTTAATGGTGGTACTGGCCCCACCTCTCACCCTCCCATATGGCACCTATTTTAGAGCACATTATTTTAGAGCACACTAATGTATACAGACTTCCTTGACTTGATTTTAAGGCCCCCACCTATTATTAGTCCCTATTTGAAAAAAAAAAAGAAAAAACCCTGAATCATGAACTTTTCCCACTCCTTGTCTCCATCCTTTGAGAAATGAGACACAGATATTTAAATTGCTCAAATACCAGGCCCGCAAATGTTAACATTCTACACAGAACAAGTAAAACTCAATTTCCCTCGATAAATTTAGTATCCAAACTAAAACAAACAAAAAAAATTCCAGATTTTTTTAAAAGGCCATATAATGTTGTAAGAGTCTTTGTCAGGGGAAAAAAGAAAGAAAATTCAGTTAAAATTATTTATTACATTCAAGAGAGGACTAACGTCCACCACACTGCCAGACTATGTAACAACCAGTTCTATTACAAGGGACATTTAACCCATAGTATATCTAAATCAGCGTAATTAGGAGACAAGTCATAATGTCACTCCATTGAATTTATTCAGTAACATTAAAACTCAGTAGGGAAAACAACAGGAGTTATCACTGCTTAGAAAGTTCAACAAAGCATGTGGAAATATATGAGTAAATATCTTTACCTTAATTTAGACATCAGTTTTCTCACTGGTTCCTTGACAGATGTGCTTTGAGAAGACATTGGCGTAGAAGCAACTTGACAACCACCACTCACAGAAACTCTGGCTTTGTGTCCAGAACTTAGATTCACATCTTCCACTGGCACATTGGGCAAGCTGAAGTTTATAATTTCAAAGTAGAAATCATGTTAGGTATTAATAATTTCAGGAACATTAATATACAATGAGTGAAATGTTAATATACAACAAATGAGAGCAAGAACATACATGTAAGGCTGAAAATTGCCACCATTGTAGTTATATAAAACAAATTCTTAATTAGAAGAATTTATATTTATTCCAGTCACATATTTTTTCGAAGCTTTTAGGTAGTAACAATTAAATGGAATTGCTGACAATTTATTTTTAACAGTAGTCATATACTGCTTGTCTCTCATTGTTGAAAGAAATGTTTTAAATTTGTTAAACTGTAGAATATTTTGTGTAAGCCTCATGGTAGCCATATAGCAAAAATCTATAATGGATACACTTAAAATAAAAAGCAACAAATTAAAACATATAAAACATATATATATATATAACATATATAGGCCCATTTTTATAAGAAAAGGAGTTGCTATTATTTTTTATTATACTTTTCTTCTCTCTCTTCTCCGTTTCCCCATTCCCCACTTCATACATAGTCCTTTAGAAATGCAATTATAACCTTTGACCTGCCCTTCACCAGAAACTCTCTAGGGCCAAGTTTGTTTAACTATATGCTTAGAAGCTCCGGAGTGGAATTTTCAGCCACCAGGAGACTGCCTCCAAAGATAACAGATGATTTACAATCCAAAGTCCCACTATGAAACTCTCTCCCATCTACAGAGATTTCAGCCACCTTTACAATCTATTTCTGCCCATGAAATGCTAACTCAACTGCCCAGTAGGCAAGGCACCACGCTAGCATGTGGGCCCACCCACCTGCTCACCTCCTCCCCTTTGGTGTCATTCATGATAGGCCCCCTTTAAAAGTGTCCACTTTCTGCTCCAAAGGTGAATGGATACCCTTAAGGCAGGAAGGAAGCCCGCACTTCTTCCCCTAAGCTAGCTTTGGAATAAAAGGTCACTTTGTTTACACCAGACCTGGCTCTTGTTAATTAGACTCTGCAAGCAGCGTACAAGTGACCCTACCATGTGGTTTCAATACTACCAGAAAAAATCACTAACTACAATTCAAGAGACTTTTAAGCTAAAGTTTATTTTAGGCTGAGAGAAAAGCACAGAAATAAAACAAGAACTAAGTCAGTTGAGAGAAATACTTAGTCATGATCTGGAGGAGGAAGAAGAATGTTCAGAGCTAATGGGGTGGAGTAAGCCAGAAGTAGATGGAAAGAGGAGATGAGCGAAGTCAGTGTTGGGATCTCAGGAAATCGTGGGCATGGGGAGGGAACTGGAGTTTCTTCTAAGCAGAGTGGGCACTACCATTGGAAGTTTTCAGTCATGAGAGTGAGGTGATCTGATGCAGGTTTTAAAAAGATACATGGCTGCAGCATGAAAAATAACTCACGGTGAGGATGCATAGCTTGTTAATGAAACTAAAGCTTTCAGTACCATAGGAAAAAGAAAGTACAAGAGTCTGGGAGCAGTACATGGAAGATGAAGCTGGGGAGGGCGGGTAGGGGTCAGATCATGAAGGGTTTTGTTTGTCAAGAAAAAAAAAAGATTTTTTTGGTAATCCTTTCATGCTGATGTCCATAAATTAAGATCACAGCTCTAGAGAGTTTTGCATGTTTATAAGATGAGGATCTTTTAAAATTGGATAACAATTTATATCAAATGGAATGTGCTTCTACTGTCAACAGCTCTTTGGCATTAACTATACTGTCTAACTTCAGCTGATTTTTTTCAGATTAAAAACATTATATAAAACTAATGCTTAATTGCCTGTTAAAGAATACTTACACACTGTCTGAATGCTCATTAGTTATAACCTCCTTTATGCTGACATTTTATTAAAGAAGTCTTTTTTTTAACCATTTTAGGGATGTTAAAGATTCATTCATGTTGGCGTTGTGGTTGAAGGATAAAAAGTACCATACTAGAGCACAGGAGATTCTTCTCTAAACCTCTGTTTCTTCTCTGTTAAATAATAGGGCCTACCTCACAGAGTTGTGCTGAGGATTAAACAAGATATACAATGAATACAGCTCAATGTTTAGTGTGAGTGCTCAGTAAAAAGTTATGATCATCTTTGCCATCATCATGAGTAATGTATTTAATAAGTTTCTTCCATTAAGATTGTTTTTCTAACATTCATAAGGTATTTACAAATCAACAGTGATTACAAAAAAAAAAAACCCCACTATCTCATAAACACCTAAAAGTACTACATGAAAGAATATATGCATGCATACACACACTCACATACACACAAATGTGTTTTGGTTTTTGGATGAATCTTAAATTGTAAAACAAATTTCATAAGTAATTCTAAGTCAAAGTATTGGCCATGAGAAGGCCTGGCAACAGCATTGGGAAAAAATTACATCACTTATTTAATCAGCAAGTATTACTGAGTGCCGAGTATGAGTTGGTGTCATTCTGGATATCAGAGACACAGGGATAAGCAAGACAGTCCCTGCTCTCATGGAGTGCCCTAGCATCTAGTGAAAAGTAGAGAAAACAAGCAAGCTAGAATTTAAAATGGTAAAAAAAAAAAAAAGTGAGTAAAGGAGATACTTTAAAATAATAATACATACTTTGAAAAAAAATGAAGGATGATAAAAGTGTGACTTGTCAGAAATGGGGTGGGCTATTTAGATGGAGTTGTCAGAGACCTTTCAAAAGTTTAGAATTAGGAGGAAGACAAGAAGGCCTTTGTCCTTAAGGAGCCTGTATGCAATGGGAAGACAGAGATTCAAACAGATAACTTCACTTGGCTGTGATCACTGCTTACCATTGTGTGTAGGAACACAGTCAGAATTTAACAAATAACTACTGAACAAATTACAATACAATCTCATCATTGCAACAGTGGCTCTGTGAATACCTGAGTTTGCTGAGGAGCATCAAGAAGACTCTAAAGAAGGGAACACTTGAACTGAGACTTAAATGAAAGGGTAGTTGACATTGGCATAAGAGTTACTGAGGGCATTCAAGTAAAGAAAGTAGTACAGACAAGGGATGAGAAGATGTGATAAAACAGAACTACTGGTAATTTAGAACCTTCGGAAAGCAAAGTGGGGGCTAAAAGTAGAGGCAGGAGAGGAGAGGATTTGTGCTATGCTAAGGAGTTTGTAACTTACCTTAAAAGTAGTGGGGGCTGAAAAGGCTTTGGAGTAGAAGAGTGAAGTGATCAGATTTGAGTGTTGGAGTGACTCACTACCCCGTCAGCAAGTGCGGGAAAATAAAGCCCCTCTCTGTTTTTCCTTGCTCTTAATTCAATGTGCTCCTATGCAAAGAGCATAGGATATGGATTCAGAGAAACTGGACCTAAATGCCTGGAAAGCAGCTTAGTCAGGTTTGTAATATAGGATAAGAGTTTACTTCCTTGAAAACAGTATTTTAATTCTACTGGATATCCAAAACATTCAGCTGATTTCATTTTAAGTGATAAAATTCTCATGTCAAGAAAATTCTAGCACCCAATGATTATAATTACATGTATGTATGACAGTAAGAAATGAACCACAGAGAAAAATTTTAGTTAATGATTTCATAATCATACCTTATATATGTGTGACATTTTGAGTTCTTTGACTACACTGAAGTAATTTGAATTGATTACTTGCTGTGGGTAGGAAGTTAAGCTGGCTCCATTTTATTATTTCCAAATCCTCACAAAATAAATGTAAAGGTTTGGGGAAAAGGTATATTCCTAATTCTTTCATGTCTCTGTTGTAAACTTTGGTTCCATTCTTGATTGGTTTTGTTGCTATTATTTTCTTTCTTCTTGTATTTAAACATTGATAATTACTTTTCGGCAGTATAATTGGCCTCATTTGGAATTTGTGTAATTGTAGTACACTCACCTTTTCCAGCTAGGTAATGAAGAGATGCTTTTTGTTGCTAGAACACCATTGCACAGCTTCTGTTTTTCTTCAAAAGAACATAGACAAAACTATCACATTTGGGTGATCACACAATAAACTGAACCGAAAGAAATGTTAGTGGTTCATTAACTACCTCTGCATAATATAGATTTGTATCCAAACATCCATTTATAAAACTGTACCAGTTTTAAGGAGATTTATAATATATTCTTAAGGTAGTTCATAATGTTTTAAAATAAAGTTTATGTAGTATATATCATTATCTAAGAGACTCTGTAACTTTTTTTTTTAGTAATTTTTAAATTGACGTTTCTTACAGTGCCTGCCGGACTGATCAGAACTGTTGATTCCCTGCTTTCACCAGCCGCTACCAAGACAACCATCTTCCCCCTAATATCCCACTTTCTACTACTTTGGGCTCAGGTTCAAAGACATTCTGATGGATCCCAATAACAAAAATGTCTCCAGTTAGAAAGATGAACTTTAAAGCAGGTGGAAACCTAGAGTCATTTAATCTTCTCACTCAGAGGACCTCAGAATTATAGGCTAACAGAGCTTGGTGATTTATTTCCAGTTCACATCAAAGCAGAAATTCTATGATCCACTTGGATTTTATACATACATATATACACATATATATTTTATTGGACTTTAGGTTGTGGAGTACATGTGAAGAACATGCAGGATTGTTGCATAGGTACATACATGGCAATGTGGTTTGCTGCCTCCATCCCCATCACCTATATCTATCTGGCACTTCTTCCCCAACCTCCCTACCCTCTACTGTCCCTCCCCTATTCCCCCCCAACAGACCTCAGTTTGTGATGCTCCCCTCCCTATGTCCATGTGTTCTCATTCTTCAACACCCACCTATGAGTGAGAACATGCGGTGTTTCATTTTCTGTTCTTGTGTCAGTTTGCTGAGAATGATGGTTTGCAGATTCACCCATGTCCCTACAAAGGAAACGAAGTCATTGATTTTTATGGCTGCATAGTATTCCATGGTGTATATGAGCCACATTTTCCTTGTCCAGTCTATCATCGATGGGCATTTGGGTTGGTTCCAGGTCTTTGCTATTGTAAACAGTGCCACAATGAACATACATGTGCATGTGTCTTTATAACAGAACGATTTACAATCCTTTGGATATATACCAGTAATGGGATTTCTGGGTCAAATGGAATTTCTATTTCTAGGTCCTTGAGGAATCGCCACACTGTCTTCCATGGTGGTTGAACTAATTTACACTCCCGCCAACAGTGTAAAAGTGTTCCTGTTTCTCCACATCCTCTCCAGCATCTGTTGTCTCCAGATTTTTTAATGATCGCCATTCTAATTGGTGTGAGATGGTATCTCAATGTGGTTTTGATTTGCATTTCTCTAATGACCAGTGATGATGAGCATTTTTCCATATGTTTGTTGGCCTAATAAATGTCTTCTATTGAAAAGTGTCTGTTCCTGTCCTTTGCCCACTTTTGAATGGCTTTTTTTCTTGTAAATCTATTTTTGGATTTACAAGAAAAAGGTAGATTCTGGATATTAGCCTTCTGTCCGATGGGTAGATTGCGAAAATTTTTTCCCATTCTGTTGGTTATCAGTTCACACTAATGATTGTTTCTTTTGCTGTACAGAAGCTCAGGAGTGTAATTAGATCCAATTTGTCTATTTTGGCTTTTGTTGCCAACGCTTTCGGTGTTTTAGTCATGAAGCCCTTGCCTATGCCTACGTCCTGAATGGTTTTGCCTAGGTTTTCTTCTAGTGTTTTTATGATGGTACGTCTTACATTTAAATCTTAAATCCATCTGGAGTTAATTTGAGTGTAAGCTGTCAGGAAGGGGTCCAGTTTCTGCTTTCTGCACATGGCTAGCCAGTTTTCCCAACACCATTTATTAAACTGGGACTCTTTTGTCCATTGCTTGTTTTTGTCAGGTCTGTCAAAGATCAGATGGTTGTAGATGTGTGGTGTTGCCTCTGAGGCCTCTGTTCTGTTCCATTGATCTATATCTCTGTTTTGGTACCAGTACCATGCTGTTTTGATTACCGTAGCCTTGTAGTATAGTTTGAAGTCAGGTAGCGTGATGCCTCCAGCTTTGTTCTTTTTGCTTAGAATTGTCTTGGCTATGGTGGGCTCTCTTTTGGTTCCATGTGAAGTTTAAGGTAGTTTTTTCCAGTTCTGTGAAGAGGGTCATAGGTAGCTTGATTAGGATAGCATTTAATCTATAAATTACTTTGGGCAGTATGGCCATTTTCACAATATTGATTCTTCCTAACCATGAGTTTTTCCATCCGTTTGTGCCCTCTCTTATTTCCTTGAGCTGTGGTCTGTAGTTCTCCTTGAAGAGGTCGTTTACATCTTTTGTTAGTTGTATTCCTAGGTATTTTATTCTCTTTGTAGCAATTGTGAATGGCAGTTGATTCTTGATTTGGCTCTGTTATTGGTGTATAGGAATGCTTGTGATTTCTGCACACTGATTTTGTATCCTGAGACTTTGCTGAAGTTGCTTATCAGTTTCAGGAGATTTTGGGCTGAGATGATGGGGTCTTCTAAATATACAATCATGTCATCTGCAAACAGAGACAATTTGACTTCCTCCTTTCCTAACTGAATTCCCTTTGTTTATTTTCTTGCCTGATTGCTCTGGCTAGAACCTCCAATACCATATTGAATAGGAGTGGTAAGAGAGGGAATCCTTGTCTAGTTCCAGATTTCAAAGGGAATGCTTCCAGTTTTGCCCATTCAGTATGATATTGGCTGTGGGTTTGTTGTATATAGCTTTTATTGCTTTGAGATAAGTTCCATCAATATCTAGTTTATAGAGTTTTTAGCATAAAGGGCTGTTGAATTTTGTTGAAGGCCTTCTCTGCATCTATTGAGATGACCATGTGGTTTTTGTCTTTGGTTCTGTTTATGTAGTGGATTATGTTTGTAGACTTGCATATGTTGAACCAGCCTTGCATCCCCGGGATGTAGCCTACTAGATCGTGATGGATAAGCTTTTTGATGTGTGGTTGCAATCAGTTTGCCAGTATTTTATTGAAGATTTTTGCATCTATGTTCATCATGGATATTGGCCTGAGGTTTTTCTGTTTTCGTTGAGTCTCTGCTGGGTTTTGGTATCATGATGATGTAGGTCTCATAAAATGATTTGGGAAGGATTCTCTCTTTCTTTGTCTGCAATAGTTTCAGAAGGAGTGGTACCCACTCCTATTTGTATGTCTGGTAGAATTTGGCTGTGAACCCATCTGGACCTGGGCTTTTTGTGGTTGGTAGGCTATTAATTGCTGCCTCAACTTCAGCCCTTGTTATTGGTCTATTCAGGGTTTCAACTTCCTCTTAGTTTATGATTGGGAGGAGGCAAGTTTCCAGGAATTTATCCATTTCTTCCAGGTTTACTAGTTTATGTACATAGAGTTGTTTGTAATAATCTCTGATGATGGTTTGAATTTCTGTGGAATCTGCGGTGATATCCCCTTTATCATTTTTTATTGCATCTATTTGATTATTCTCTCTTTTCTTTTTTATTAAACTAGCTAGTGGTCTATCTTGTTGATCTTTTCGAAAAACCAGCTCCTGGATTTATTGATTTTTTGAAGGGTTTTTTGTGTCTCTATCTCCTTCAGTTCTGCTCTGATCTTAGTTATTTCTTGTCTTCTGCTACCTTTTGAGTTTGTTTGATCTTGCTCCTCTAGCTCTTTCAATTTTGATGATAGGGTGTCAATTTTTGATCTCTCCTTGCTTCTCATGTGGGCACTTATTGCTATATATTTTCCTCTAGAGACAGCTTTAAATGTGTCCCAGAGATTCTGGTATGTTGTGTCTTCATTCTCGCTGGTTTCGAAGAACATCTTTATTTCTGCCTTCATTTCATTGTTTATCCAGTCAACATTCAAGAGACACTTGTTCAGTTTCCATGAAGCTGTGTGGTTCTGAGTTACTTTCTGCTTTCTGAGTTCTATCTTGATTGCCCTGTGGTCTGAGAGACTGTTTGTTATGATTTCCATTCTTTTCCATTTGCTTAGGAGTTATTTGCTTCCAATTACGTGGTCAATTTTAGAGTAGGTGTGATGTGGTGCTGAGAAGAATGTATATTCTGTGGATTTGGGGTGCAGAGTTCTGTAAATGTCTGTTAGAGTTTGCTTGTTCCAGGTCTGAGTTTAAGTCCTGGATATCTTTGTTAATTTTCTGTCTTGTTGATCTGTCTAATATTGACAGTGGGGTGTTAAAGTCTCCCACTATTATTGTGTGGGAGTCTAAGTCTCTTTGTAAGTCATTAAGAACTGGCCTTATGTATCTGGGTGCTCCTGTATTCGGTGCGTATATATTTAGAATTGTTAGCTCTTCTTGTTGCATCGATCCTTTTACCATTATGTAATGTCCTTCTTTGTCTCCTTTGATCTTTGTTGCTTTAAAGTCTATTTTATCAGAGACAAGAATTGCAACTCCTGCTTTTTTTTTTTTCCCTCTCCATTTGCTTCGTAAATCTTCCTCCATCCTTTTATTTTGAGCCTTTGTGTATCCTTGCATGTGAGATGGATTTCCTGGATACAGCACACAGATGGGTTTTGGCTTTTTATCCAATTTGCCAGTCTGTCTCTTTTGACTGGGGCATTTAGTCCATTTACATTTAGGGTTAATATTGTTATGTGTGAATTTGATACTGCCATTTTGATGCTAGCTGGCTGTTTTACCTGTTAGTTGATGCAGATTCTTCATTGTGTTGATGCTCTTTACCATTTGGTATGTTTTTGAAGTCACTGGTACTGGTTGTTCCTTTATATGTGTAGAGCCTCTTTCAGGAGCTCTTGTAAAGCAGGCCTGGTGGTGATGAAATCTCTGAGTACTTGCTTGTTCACAACGGATTTTCTTTTTCCTTCACTTATGAAGCTTAGTTTGGCTGGATATGAGATTCTGGGTTGAAAGTTCTTTTCTTTTAGGATGTTGAATATTGGCCTCCACTCTCTTCTGGCTTGTAGGGTTTCTGCTGAGAGATCTGCTGTGAGTCTGATGTGCTTCCCT